GAAGAAGAAGAAGAAGAAGAAGAAGAAGAAGAAGAAGAAGAAGAAGAAGAAGAAGAAGAAGAAGAAGAAGAAGAAGAAGAAGAAGAAGAAGAAGAAGAAGAAGAAGAAGAAGAAGAAGAAGAAGAAGAAGAAGAAGAAGAAGAAGAAGAAGAAGAAGAAGAAGAAGAAGAAGAAGAAGAAGAAGAAGAAGAAGAATGTTCAGGATCCGATCCTTTTTCGTCTTGTCTGTCTCTCTGTCCCTTTTAAAAAACAAACAAACAGGCATTTACTTACACGGTAACCGAGCTGACACATAATTAAAAGAAGAAATGGATGGACTAATGAAATCCATCTGGCTGTTAGCCTTTCTTTGATTTATCTTGTTCCCGGCTGCTCAGCCAGGTGATGAGAAGTTCCTAGTGAGCTGGATGACAATGAGGTTTGGGGCAGAGGAAAGGGCCTGGAGGACTTTGATAGGTCTGTGCGATCCTATTGGGAGTAAAAACCAAGGCAGCATTGCTGTCAATGGGACCGCAGCCAACCTGCGACTGGTTTTTTAAAACAATCTAATGGAAAGGACCTTCCATGTATACTCAGTTCTTCCTGCAACAGGCTCAAGACCTCAGGGTTCCCTAAATCTGGGATTTGTGGAGGTTAGAAAAAGAGAAACGATGGGTGAGGTTTAACAGGTTCAGGGGCTGAACGCAGATCCGAACCTGCAACTCAGATTTATTTAAATGCGCCAGATGAAAACCAGAGAGTTTTCCGCTGTTCATCTTCTTCTAGTCTCCCGTCTTTATCACGTTCAGTGAACGCGAGCAATGGGAATTTGTGGAACTGTGGGGTCCTGAGTGCTCTCTGAGCTGGGTGGTTTTCTTGCAGACCTTTCATTACACAACTAGGTAGCATCATCAGTGTTAGAAGGCACTGGAGGAGGAGGAGGAGGAGGAGGAGGAGGAGGAGGACTGTGGGAACCTTGGTGCTTTCTGAGCTTGGTGGTTTTCTTGCAGACATTTCAATACCCAACTAGGTAACATCATCAGTGCTACAAGAAATGTTTGGAGAGAGAGAGAGAGAGAGGGAGGGAGGGAGGGAGGGAGAGGAGGAGGAGGAGGAGGAGGAGGACTTGTGAGGTCCTTGGTGCTTTTGAGTTTGGTGGTTTTCTTGCAGAGATTTCAATACCCAACTAGGTAACATCATCAGTAATTCAAGGAGTGGTGTGGGAGGAGGAGGAGGAGGAGGACTGTTCTTGGTGGGTTCTCAACTATATAAAAACAAGATAGCCCCACCCCCTTCTAGCACTGATGATGCTACCTAGTTGGGTAATGAAACATCTGCAAGAAAACCATCAAGTTCAGACAGCACTAAAGACCCCACAGTTCAACCTTGAGCTGCGAATATTCCCTTCTATCCGTAGTTTGCAGAACACTGCGCCACATATGGAATATATCAATGTATTTATCCCTGCTCAAGAGAACACTCGTCTCTGTTATCTTTGATCCACCTAAATTCTAAAGGCTCTCCAACCCGACAGCCACCTTATTTAGATCCTCGAGCAGAGAAAAATCAAACTTTTATCTACTGTACACTGAAACGTGAGGACAGTTGAATTTATAGCCCGTTCGGTTAAAACAAATGGGCGTCAAATTAAACAGGTGCAACTTCGATTGCTTATTATAAATCTAAGGCCTGTTGGAATCCGGTCTTTAATTTAGACATTATCTCTAATTGCCATATTACTTTTCTAAGGACAAAACTCTGGCTGCTCTTTTGCTGGTGGTGCATTTTGTGGTTCAAAAAAAACCAAACAAACCCACAGCCTGGCACTTCTATCTGTGTTGCAGGGGAAGAGATTCTCCTGGTCAATCAGATGGGTAATTTCGAGCTGTGCCCTGTTTGAAAATGACAATATTTGGTGGTACGAAGCTGTGAGAGCCAGCGGTTACCAAACCAAATAAGACAATAATTATATTATGTTAAAAAAACACACACACACATACAGAAAGGATTTCTTGCTTTTCGGGGGGATGATTCTGATGAAAGAGACCTTGCCACTGAGATTTGTTTATTTATTAGATTTATTAGATCCCGCAGCTCAACAGTGTTGGGAAGGGACCTTGGAGGTCTTCTAGTCCAACCCCCTGCTCAAGCAGAAGCTTAATTTAATTAATTAATTAAATTAAATTAAATTAAACTTAATTTTGTTGTGAGTACTTAATTTTGTTGTGAGATACACAATGACAATAAAGATATTCTATTCTATTCTAATTCTATTCTATTCTATATTCTGTTCCATTCCATATTCTATTCTATTCTATTCTATTCTATTCTATTCTATTCTATTCTATTCTATTCTATTCTATTCTATTCTATTCTATTCTATTCTATATTCTGTTCCATTCCATATTCTATTCTATTCTATTCTATTCTATTCTATTCTATTCTATTCTATTCTATATTCTGTTCTATATTCTATTCAAAAATACAGCAGGAGCAGTGATGTAAAAGTTTCTCTCTATAAATTATGGTTTGCTTAATTCAAGGAATTAATTGAGGTGTTCCTATTAAAAAGACAGGGACCCATGGCCTCTGCAATTTAGACAAATCAGATAAAAACTCTTACAGGATTTCTACCAACAGCTCCAGAAGATTCCTTCAGTATTCACCAAAATTGCCCAGGGGTTGCAAATAAGACAGTGTTTTGTTGTTGTTTTTTTGAGATTCACACTTCCTTAACACTGGCAGCAAAAATATTGGAGCTGTGAAATGTTGTTGCTTTTTAATTAAGTGGCCTCTTTTCTCCTGCTTACTCTCACCTACTGATGTAAACGTTCTCTTTGACACCCCCACCCCACCCCCAGGTGCTCAAGGGCTCCAAAAAACTCAACCTGACCGTCCATTCAGCGGGACGCATCCCTGGCGGCTACAGAACCAACCACATTTACACCTGGGTGGACCCCCAGGGCCGGAGTGTCTCTCCCCCGGTTGGCTTGATCCAGCATCAGAGCAGTCCTTTGGGCAAGGAGGGTGAGAAAAGGAGCCACCTTCAACTTCTTCAGGAAGGGGATGAGAAAAAGGTGAGGACTAGAAGCTCTGCTTTCCTAATTGCCCTTCTCAATGTTTAGCACACTGGAGGATGAGGAATGCGTGAACCTACCCCAAGCCGGCTCCTACTTGCCAACCGATTCAGAACATCAGTTTAATTGACTCAGGTTGACTCAGCCTTCCGTCCTTCCGAGGTCGGTAAAATGAGGACCCCGATTGTTGGGGGCAAAATGCTGACTCTGTAAACTGGTTAGAGAGGGCTGTGAAGCACTGTGAAGCGGTATATAAGTCTTAAGGGCTATTGCTATTGCTGTCTGTCTGTCTGTCTGTCTGTCTGTCTACCTATTTATCTACAGTATCTCTCTATCTCTCTATCTCTCTATCTCTCTATCTATCTATCTATCTACCTATTTAGCTACAGTATCTATCTACCTACCTACCTACCTACCTATCTATCTATCTATCTATCTATCTATCTATCTATCTATCTATCTATCTATCTATCTACCTATTTATTTACAGTATCTCTCTCTCTCTCTCTCTCTCTCTCTCTATCTATCTATCTACTTACCTACCTACCTACCTACCTACCTACCCATCCATCCATCCATCCACCTACCTACCTACCTACCTACCTACCTACCTACATCTATCTATCTATCTATCTATCTATCTATCTACCTACCTACCTACCTACCTACCTACCTACCTACCTACCTACCTATCTATCTATCTATCTATCTATCTATCATCTATCTATCTTTATCTATCTATCTATCTATCTATCTATCTATCTATCTATCTATCTATCATCTATCTATCTTTATCTATTTATCTATCTATCTTTATCTATCTACGTATTTATCTACAGTATCTATCTCTCTCTCTCTCTGTCTATCTCTCTATCTCTCTATCTCTCTCTCTATCTATCTATCTCTATCTATCTATCTATCTATCTATCTATCTATCTATCTATCTATCTATCTATCTATCTATCTATCTATCTATCTATTTCTCCTTGCTTAGTTTTCCATCCATTGCTTCTTCTCCTGCCTTCAAGAGCTTTGGAGAACAAAGTTAGTGGAGAATAGAGAATCAAGTTAGTCAGTTGAGCTACGTTCTTCTAGATCCCATCTCATCCCGCTGGCCTTCTAAGTGGATGTACAATGGCTTCGAAACCAGAACTGTTCTTTTGAGAGAACGAGGTGTTCCCCTTCCACTTTGGAGAAGGAAAGTCGGTTGGTTTTCCAGGCCCAGCTATAATTTCAACAGCAGGAAGCTAGGCCTCCTCCCTCCATCTCCCTCCGTGCCTCTCTAGCTTTGAGAAAAGGAAGTAGGATCCCAGCGTGAAAACTGCTCTACAGAAATAGCTTGTCTTACCTTAACCGGAGGGCGGGCATGACATCTTTGACCAACTGAATTGAGTTTGCATCAGAGAGGGCATTTTTCATCAGCGCTCTCTGGAAGAGGGCAAGGACTGACTCATTAGTGGTTCATTTTAAGAGACTTTGCTTATTTAAATAGGTTCCCAAGACCTTAATTGCACCTGAAAAGGTTGTTCAGGAATGACGTGCAAGGTCCTTTTCTTTCGCTAGCATAAAATGCAAAAAACAAAATACAAAAAACCCTCCACACACATCCAAGTGACAGCTCTCATCTCCAGAATTAGAAACGGACATTGCAATCTTCTGGGTTAAAAATGTGAGGTTTATTCTTAGCCAGGCAAATTACAAAACATTTTTTTTCTAGACACAAGTTCCTTTCTCTCTTTTTATCCCTTGAAAAAAAATAACTTTGCAAATGTTTCTCTAGGTATTTGCTACGATTCTTCCCTTCTAATCATAACTAGCTGCCATTAAAAAAAAATCTTGACCTAGTTCTACTGTAAACAGGGGAAGGGGGAGGAAGGGGAGGAGGAGGAGGAGGAGGAGGAGGAGGAAGAGGAGGAGGAGGAGAAGAAGAAGAAGAAGAAGAAGAAGAAGAAGAAGAAGAAGAAGAAGAAGAAGAAGAAGAAGAAGAAGAAGAAGAAGAAGAAGAAGAAGAAGAAGAAGAAGAAGAAGAAGAAGAAGAAGAAGAAGAAGTAGAAGTAGAAGTAGAAGTAGAAGTAGAAGTAGAAGTAGAAGTAGAAGTAGAAGTAGAAGTAGAAGTAGTTGTTCATGGTTGTCCAGTCTCTTCTTAAAAACCTCCAGTGTGGAGCTCCCACAACTTCTGAAGGCAAATTGTTCCACTGGTTAATTGTTCTCACTGTCTGGAAATTTCTCCTTAGTTCCAGGTTGCTTCTCTCCTTGATGAGTTTCCATCCGTTGCTTCTTGTCCTGCCTTCAGATGCTTTGGAGAATAGCTTGACCCCCTCTTCTCTGTGGCAGCCCCTCAAATATTGGAAGACTGCTATCATATCGCCCCTGGTCCTCCTTTTCATTAAACTGGACATCCCCAATTCCTGCGGCCATTCTTAGTCTTAGTAACTGTAGAAACAAATCTGAACTGTAGAAACAAATCAAGACTGTAGAAATAAATTAAGACTGTAGAAACTAATCCAAACAGAAACTAATCAGAACGGTAGAAACAAATCTGAACAGTCATTAGGGATCCGTTTAAAGAGAGGGCAAGCTGCACCAGTGAGGGCTTGAACCGCCATTGATTAGGGCCGGTGAAAATTAAGTTTGAAACAGCTTCCTCTGAAATCAACAATTGAGCTCACATTACCGTCCCTCAGAGGACAAAGCAAAGCGATGGAATATCAGCAGAAAACCAGCTCTTATTTGCAAGCCTCCAATAAAGGCCCTTTGCATAATTATGCAAAACTAAACCCATACGTTCCATCAGCATTCAGAGCAGGAGGGAGGGAAAGAAAAAAAAAAACCATTAGAAATGGGAAAAGTTGCCTTTTGTTTTGTTTTGGTTTTTTTTCCCTTTCCTTTATTGCCAAGACTCAGCATGAAAGCTTGCGTTTGTCGTGTTCCAAACCAAAGATTGTGCTCTCTGTGTGTGTGTTTGTGTGTGTGAGAGAGAGATTTGACAGCATCAGCAAGAGCGTGACTCAGCAAGACAACTGGAACGAATTTGCAAACAAACTAATAAAGCCAAGAATTGATGCCCTTTTTTGCAGTTGTCCCTTCAAGAGAAGGACACTCTCCACCGATCGTTTTCCCCATGGTTATTGTCTCCTCTTATTCCTGGTTTCTCTCTCTCTCTCTCTCTCTCTCTCTCTCTCTCTCTCTCTCTCTCTCTCTCTCTCTCTCTCTCTCTCTCTCTCTCACACACACACACACACACACACACACACACACACACACCTTCCCTTCTGATCCTCATGCCAAGCCTAAAATTATCCGTGGCTTCTGATTTTGGTTTCTACACGTCATCCTTGTCTCTAAGCAGTTCTGACTTTTTTTTTCATCCTAGGGCTCCAGTATACAGTAAATCCATCTCTCTTCCCTCTCAAAAGAGTTTGGACAACAGCTGTCAGATTCCCCCAAATGTTCTCTGTCCCCATCTTTTATTTTCCCTTTCTACTTCCTTTGATCAAGCTAGAGCATCTTGGAGAGAACAAGAGATCTTCTGATGAATTTTCAAAGAGCAGACATGGAATAGTAAAAAAAACGGAAAGGGCCACAAGAATCAGTTAATTCAAACTTGAAAGAAAACCAATTAAACACCCATCAGACATGGCTTTCTGGTCTGTTCTTAAAAGCCTCCAGAGATGGAAGATAGAAGATAGAATAATAAGGTTGGAAGGGACCTTTTTCCTCGCTCGCCGAGGTGGTGGCCAAACTAAATAAACCCAGGTGATGCCTCATTATGGAAGTTGGGATGAAGAATAACAGAATGACAGAGCTGGAAGGGACCTTGGAGATCTTCTAGTCCAACCCCCTGCTCAAGCAGGAGACCCTGTACCATTCCAGGCAAATGGTTGTCCAACCTCTTCTTAAAATCCTCTAGTGATGGAGCAACTGTAACATCTGAAGGCAAGCGGTTCCACTGGTTCATTGGAAGGTTCCACTGGAGGTCTTCTCTACTCATGAAGGCGAAGACCCACAGCTTCTGTAGGTTGACTATCTGGATGCTGCACAAAACCTAGCGACAGGAATTTTTCATTATGAAGATGAAATCTAAATAGCCGACACTGTATTTCTGGTTCTAAAGAAAAGGGGTCCACCTATTCTCCAAAGCACCTGAGGGCAGGACAAGAAGCAAAGAATGGAAACTCATCAAGGAGAGAAGCAACCTAGAACTAAGGAGAAATTTCCTGACTGTGAGAACAATAAACCAGTGGAACCGCTTGCCTTCAGATGTTACAGTTGCTCCATCACTGGAGGGTTTTAAGTAGAGGTTGGACAACCATTTGCCTGGAGTAGTACAGGGTCTCCTGCTTGAGCAGGGGGTTGGACTAGAAGACCTCCAAGGCCCCTTCCAACTCTGTCATTCTGTTATTCTTCATCCCAACTTCCATAATGATGTATCCCCTGGGTTTATTTAGTTTGGCCACCACCTCGGCGAGCGAGGAAAAAGGTTCCTTCCAACCCTATTATTCTGTATTCTGATTTCCAGCCAAGTGGAAAAGAGACAAAGAAGTCTCCATAACCTGTATGGCCACTAGATATTTTACAACAAATGTTGAATCTATTGCAAGCCTGTGTATCCATACACAGAGCAGTCCACCTCCATGCATTCAGCGCTGATTGCCTCGGCGGAACAGTGGTAGGTCAGAGTAACTGGTAACCTCCAATTATTCTGTCCTTCCAACGTTGAGATCTATACTGTCTATTTTCTGAGGTTCACTTCATCAGGACTGCTAAATCGCTCAAGGGGAGGGTTAATGGAAACACTCGCTCCGCCAAAAGGCCACATTAGCCCACAAGCTTGGATAAAAACAGGATATCTTTGGAATCTGTTCATCTGGTCCAGTTCCAGCACCCCATTTCTTTTCTGTGTCATATCTGGCAGGCCACTGCTACATATTTTAATGATCGGGAAGACAAGGTTGAGCTTTCAAAGCTGGCCCTTGGGTCATAGGATCTCCTCCCGCCAATTTATCTGACCGCGGCTGTCTTTCAAAGCCCCAATTCAGCTGCACCCTCCTTACTAGTAGTTGGCTTGATGGGCAGAGATGCCCTGCAACTCTGCCTTGGTGTCACCAGGCTAACGAGGTACGCACAGGACACAAGTGAGATGGGAAGGCTTGAGGAGGTGGAGCGAGTAAATCCAGGCTTAAACCAGATTTAAATCTGGGTTTCTGAATGACACGTCGACATTGATCAAGGATGCCCCTTGCTAAGGTCAGTGGTTAGACTGTGGCCGCCAAGTTCACATCGGCACGGTCAAATTGTTGTGGATGTATAACCCAAAATGTTGCGGTCTGACGCGTCTGGCAGAATGCTAGGACTGGCTCTTCAACCAGCCATGATGTATTTAACATGGTTTATTGAATGAATCAGCAGTTTCTGGGTGCAACAGTATCGTGGTTTATAAGCCATCAAGACTGGGTTCAAGTAACATGACAAACCCAAATCAGCCAACTCTTTCTTCTTCTTCTTCTTCTTCTTCTTCTTCTTCTTCTTCTTCTTCTTCTTCTTCTTCTTCTTCTTCTTCTTCTTCTTCTTCTTCTTCTTCTTCTTCTTCTTCTTCTTCTTCTTCTTCTTCTTCTTCTTCTCCTTCTCCTTCTCCTTCTCCTTCTCCTTCTCCTTCTCCTTCTCCTTCTCCTCCTCCTCCTCCTCCTCCTCCTCCTCCTCCTCCTCCTCACGTCTGCCAAAATGGTTTTTCAACTTTCCAATTAAACCCTAACGCGCTAATCAATTTTATTTGCCTTTTTCAAGGTCATAAACATACAACTGGTTGCTGTCACCGGCTGTAAACCTACGTGTCTCCCCAAATCTAGCTCAGTTTCCTGAATTTTGAGATCAGCCAAGGTCTGCCCCTCCCTATTTTAAAGGAGTTTGTGGCTGAAATAGAAATAGACAGACCCTCTCCAGTTGCTTGGCGGAAAGCCAAAACCTGGTTTGTAAGCAGCTATTGTGATCGTTATCTATTGCAGCCTACGCTTCCAACTTTAATCCTCATAATTATATGTACAAAATGCATCTCTCCCCCCCCCCCAAAAAAATGCCTGTTTTGTCCCATTAATAATTCAAAGGGCCGGTGGGGCTTTTCAAAACAATGAAACAAGGTCCCAGCGTTCCGGATCTGATTAAACTTATCAAGGTCTCGACCTTCTTTAGAATATTTGCTGGTTCTTAATCTCCCTAATTAATATGGAATGAACATCCTTCTCTGTTTCCCTGATTCGCAATAAAGGATCTCTGCTCCCTGAAAATGTTGTATAATTTTTTTCCTTCTCTCTCTCTCTCTCTCTCTCTCTGGCTCAGTTAATTGCTCCCCAGACTATAGGAGAGAAAAAAAGGATCATTCTATAAGTGATCTGCTTCTTTGCAGTATCTCATCTTAGAGCCCGAAGCGGTGTTTGGTCAATAAGGGCTCTACTATAATATTTCAAAAGTGAGAGGGGAGGTGGCTGCTTCTACCTATGCCTGCCGAAGCTGTACTTAGCCGGAATTTTAATCAAAATGATATCTGCTTTTTTTCTCTTGGCAGGCTGTAGCAATAGGAGCCTGGCTGCAGAATCAAAGCAGTTATTTGCCATCCCAACCTGGTTGGGTCTCTCTCACCTGTTCAGTGGAATTTTGTTTTTCTTCTTGGTGCAGGTCAACCTTGTGTTGGATGAAGGACGATCACTGGGTCTCATGATTCGAGGGGGATCTGAATACACCCTGGGGATTTACATCACAGGGGTGGACAAGGATTCGGAAGCGGAAAACACTGGTTTGAAAGTAAGTTTAGCTGAGACTCCTGGGTGAGTCCGAGAGGGCCCTATAAATATGCTGTAGAAACATCTTGGCCAGGCTTTTAGCTGAGGGAAGCTTTGGACAAGCTACAAAGTTTTGAGGATAAGTCAACTTTAGAATAGAATAGAATAGAATAGAATAGAATAGAATAGAATAGAATAGAATAGAATAGAATGGAATGGAATGGAATGGAATGGAATGGAATGGAATAGAATAGAATAGAATAGAATAGAATAGAATAGAATAGAATAGAATAGAATGCAGAAGAATAGAATAGAATAGAATAGATGATAGAGAATAGAATAGAATAGAATAGAATAGAATAGAATAGAATAGAATAGAATAGAATAGAATAGAACTGGAAGGGACCTTGGAGGTCTTCTAGTCCAGCCCCCCGCTCAAGCAGGAGAAACCAAAAAAGCTAATACAATCCTGGGTTGTATGAACAGAGGCATAGAATCAAGATCATGCAAAGTATTAGTATCACTTTATAAAACCCCAGTGAGGCCACACCTGGAATACTGCAGCCGATTTTGGTCACCATATCACAAAAAAGATGTTGAGAGTTTGGAAAAAAATTCAGAGAATAATCAAAGGCCTGGAGACTAAAACATGCGAAGAACAGCTGCAGGACTTGGGTTTGGCTAGTCTAAAGAAAAGAAGAAATAGGAGAGGCATGAGGGGCTGCCACAAGGCAGAGGGGGTCACGTTATTCAACAAAGCATCAGAGGGAAGGACGAGAAACAATGGTTGGAAACTGATCAAAGAGGGAAACAACCTGGAATTAAGGAGAAACTTCCTGACAGTGAGGACAATCAACCAGTGGAACAGAAGTTGCCTTCAGAAATTGTGGGCGCTCCATCGCTGGAGATTTTTGAGAAGAGACTGGACATTCACCTGTCTGGGACGGTATAGGTTCTCCTGCTTGAGCAGTGGGCTGGACTAGAAGACCTCCAAGGTCCCTTTCAGCTTCTATTCTATTCTATTCTATTCTATTCTATTCTATTTTTCCTTTCTCCTATTTCAAGGTCACTTCCTGCACTTGGAAGTGTTGTCAACCAATCTTCGTATTTTGTCATTCCAAATGGCTCAGAAGGTGACAAAATGCAGAATCAAGGAGAGCGGATGGCAATTCTTCATTTTCCCCCAATGGCGATTTTCGGTTCATTTGTTCATTAGTCTCCCACTGACACTCCCCTCCCCCCCACCAGCTGCCCCAAAGGAAATTTCTTTTTTTATATACCCTGGATCACAGAATTGCCTGTTTTTTGTAAAATGCCAAATGGTTTCTAGCAGGCGACAGAACATTAGGCTCAGGAAAGAGATGTGAAATGATAACTTCGGGTATATAAGCAATATTATTTCCTACAAATAAATGACTTCAGGTCGTCAGCTGATGGTTATCATTCCATCTGTTCCTTTGTCCCCTTACAAGTAGGAGATAATGACCCTCCCAGAATACTGCCTAGATTTCTGTATCATTCTTCTACCTGCAGCCTGTCAGGCACAAATAACTAGACCCACGTGCCTAGAGTTCAAACTAGCTACTTTATTGTTCTCTGCCTGTAATACAGGAATCTCCCGAGACTGGCAGATTTGCTGGGAAAGACTAGCTCAACGGCCTTCAAGGGCGGTCAGACCTTGCCCTGGAATATTGCATCCACTTTTGGTCACCACAATATGAAAAAGACGTTGAGACTCTTGGAAGAGTTCAGAAAAGAGCAACAAAGATGATTAGGGGGCTGGAAGCTAAACCGCAGGAAGGACGGTTGGAGGAATTGAATACATCTAGTTTAATGAAAAGAAGGAGTAGGGGATACATGATAGCAGTGTTCCAATATTTGAGGGGCTGCCACAAAGAAGAAGGGGGGGTCAACCTATTTTCCAAAGTACCAGAAGGCAAGACAAGAAGCAACAGATGGAAACTAATCAAGGAGAGAAGCGATCTAGAACTAAGGGGAAATTTCCTAATGGTGAGAGCAATTAGCCAGTGAAATGGTTTGCCTTTAAAAGTTGTGGGTGCCCCATCACTGGAGACTTTTAAGGAGAGAACTGGGCAGCCACTTGTCTGAAATGGCACAGGATCTCCTACTTGAGCATGGGGTTGGACTAGAAAGCCTCCAAAGTCCCTTCCAACTTTGTTATTCTACGTTCTTGTGTTTATATAATGAGTCCTTGCTAATTCCCTGTTTGATCCTTTCTTCAGACTGGGATGGTTGCTGTCCAACGTAACCTGAACTGTCTCTGATTCTACATATCTCCTGCTCCTCCCACCTACATTATCTCCTGACTAACACAGCTGTCTTTTTTTTAAAATACAGAATAAACCTTCTCTTCTTCATTCATTGTTCTTGTTAGTTTTCACCAGAATGCCCTGGGGCTGCTAGAATGTGGAGAAGAACCAGGAATAAGGACAGGGGAAAACGTGGTGGTGCCTTTTAGGGACACTCATCCATCTTGGGAGCTCCCCGTTTTTCTAGGAAAGACCGGGAACTTGACGTTCTAATTTTGCTCCAGGGAGGTCATTCTAGACGTTACATGCCCTCGATTGTGGAGAATCGAATAGCCACTGGATTGCACATAGCTGCTTGCTTTGACGGCTGTTCTTCAGGAGCGGGAACCAGCTTCCCTCTTTGCAAATTTCCACAAAGGCTGTCCTAGCAGAGACCTGATAGATTGCTTGTCATCTGATCACGGGAGGCTACTGGCAGAAGGTTTCTCTTCTCCCTTTCTCTGGGATGGAAGTAAATATCTTCCCCCGTCATAAGGCAGGAACGTAAATCTTGCAGCCCGGATTGGCCATGAATAATTCATCGTGACCTAGCTTTTCATGTGCTGGCTGTCACACCGGAGGCAAACACCGCACACTGGTGCCATTTGACCGGCGTGTCTCCGTAGCCTTCCCATAAAACTCCTTGTTCCTTCTCTTCCTTGTCTCCATAGTAGACCCCCGATTGCCAAGGGAGAACAATGCAAAGGTTACGAAAGCGTGAATTAAGACCACCTGGTTCCTTTTCAGGTATCTCCCTTACTTCTCTCGGAAGCCACCCGTGTATGAAAATACAGAGTCACGAAGGCCATAAAAATTTTAATAGGATTCTCTTTCCCCTGGCTCTTGCCGAGTTCACCTTGTTTTTGAGGTGGCAGGAAGCCCTGAAGGCTATTTCCAACCGTTGACCTTGTCAATAGTGGCCGTTAGTGGATTTCAACCAGTAAAGAGAAAGAAGAGAGAGATTGGGGTCGGAGTTGATCAATCTTCTCCCTCGCGATTAATAAGCTGGCCCTGCAGCTGTTGCACAACAGAGAGAAAACGACTTTTAACCAGGTCAATTCCAAATCCAGGGTCAAGGTCAAGCTTCATTAGTTTTAATCTTATTTAGATCTTTGTGTGTGTGTGTGTGTGTGTGTGTGTGTGTGTGTGTGTGTGTGTGTGATTTAGTGAGCCTTTTGTTGCTTTGCAGTTTGGAAAGGGAGGTTAAATGAGTCACCGTCAATCAAGGAGAATATTTGTAACTCAGAGTTGCAATGAAGGGTCCTGGGTGCTCTCTGAGCTTGGTAGTTTTCTTGCAGACGTTTCATGACCCAACTAAGTAACATCATCAGTGCTAGAAGGGAGTGGGGTGTGTGGAGAGGAGGAGGAGGAGGAGGACGATGACTGTGGTATCCTTGGCACTCTCTGAGCTTGATAGTTTTCTTGCAGATGTTTCATGACTCAACTAAGTAATATCATCAGTGCTAGAAGGAGTGGGGTGTGTGGAGAGGAGGAGGAGGAGGAGGAGGAGGAGGAGGAGGAGGAGGACTGTGGTATCCTTGGCACTCTCTGAGCTTGGTAGTTTTCTTGCAGATGTTTCATGACCCAACTAAGTAATATCATCAGTGCTAGAAGGAGTGGGGTGTGTGGAGAGGAGGAGGAGGAGGAGGAGGAGGAGGAGAAGGAGGAGGACTGTGGTATCCTTGGCACTCTCTGAGCTTGGTAGTTTTCTTGCAGATGTTTCATG